CCGCGGCGCCGGCCCCGCCCCCAGCCCTGGCCCCGCCCCCGCCCCGGGCTTGGCCCAGCCCGGACCCGTCTCTCAGCTGCTGGCTGAAGCCCGGGCCTGAGTGCTCCGCGCGCCTTGAAGGCGCTGCGGCCTCTGTGTTTCAAGCTTCCGCGCGCACCGGAGCGGACGGCAGAGGTCTGGCCTCCCGAGCCAGGAGCTGCGGGCTGGGGGCCCCGGCGGCGTGGGAGCTTGCGAACCCTGCCGGGAGCGGGCGTGGGAGCCCGGAGCCCCGGGGGAGCTGCGGTTTTAAGTCGAGAACGCGCGGTACAGTAGGGCTTGTGAAATGCGTAAGCAGGAGCGCGTAGATGGGAGACTCAAGAGCCGTTCCATCTCAGCATTCGGGTCGTAAAACACAAATCTGGTGGCCCACGTCCCTGCTTAAACTACCTTATCGTATGGCTAGATGTGCGTGTGCGTGCACAGGGTGCTTCCGGAGGGAAACACACGGAGACAGTTCATTCAATAATCTTGGACCTTGTGTACGTTGAACCGTGAATGTTACCTAGTCAGTGAAAGCAAATGTCCTTTAAATTACAGAAAATAAATAAATAATAGTTTCCGACCACAAGAATAAAATTCGGAATCCCCCCCAGGTCCTGCACGACCCACCTCCTCTGCAGCCTGGTGTTCCCCATCAGTTCCTCCGTCACTGTTCTTTGGCCACCGACAACTTCAAGTGTTATGGCCTCAGAATCTTCCCCTGGGTTCCGAGTGGACCGCCTGACACGTCTCCGTCGGGGAGGGTGTCTCTGACCCCTCCGGAATGCGTCCACGGACCCCCGTATTTACTTCCGCAGCCGCCTGTTTGCCTCCGTTTCTGCACCTACCAAAACGTGTAGCCATCGTTTATCTATTCACTTCTGTGTTTAGGTTTACTATCTGTTCTGCTCTCTTTAGAGTGTAGGCTGCAGGAGGACAGGGCCAATGTTTATTATTTTCCCCCTCCATATTGCAGGCACACCGTGGGCACTTAATAAATATTTGTTGAACGAGTGAATGAATGACTGGGTGACAGTGTGAGGACGGCGGCTATCCCTCCCACGGTGTTCGTTGCCAAATCATAGACAGCTGGTTGTGTCCTGGCCAGACTCCTGCTATGGGTGAAGAGTTAGGCAACCTTCAGAAGCCACATGACTTTAGACCGTAAGATCTGCACAGTTCCATTAGCAAGACATACAGGCTGTTCTCCAAGCGCTCATTCAGCGTTCACGCATTCAGCAGGGATGCTGTAAGCACCCACTGTGTGCAAGCCATGCCCGTTGTTTCTGCGTTACAGACATTGAACGCAGCGGCCAAAAATATTAAGTGGCAGTCAAGGGTGGTGAGATTAAGGATAATGTTTTTCATGCTTCTTTATACTTTTTCTGGAGCCCTGGTGGCACAGTGGTTAAGAGCTCAGCTGCTAACCAAAAGATCGTCAGTTTGAATCCACCAGGCTCTCCTTGGAGACCCTATGGGGCAGTTCTACTCTGTCCTATAGGGTTGCTATGAGTCAGAATCACCTCAAGGGCAATGGGTTTGGTTTGGTTTTTTGGTATTTACCAAATGCTGTGTAAGGAACATATATTACTTTAAGACAATTTTGTAAACTAGGAAAAGAATAAACAGCATCAAAAATTTATGCAAAAAGTTTTTTGAACAGAATTTGTTTTTTACCAGCTATGTTGGTTAGGAGAAGTACGGCTGATTGCCTACTTACATATGCACACTTTGTAATACAGACATTTTCTGTACTAACGGGCATTACATTTACATTGCAAGAAAGATAATAACTTTAATTTCAAGAAATACTTAACTAATGTTAAGTGAAGTGTTCACCTCCATCAGAATGCAGTCTGTGACCTACACGAAGAAGCTGCATATGGTGATGGGAGAGTGGCTGGCTTCTCTTCAAATTACCTTGGCTCTAAAAACAAGTGTAACTGATGTTGGTAAAGAAATCACAGGGTCTGCCTATCTCATTCCCAAGCAACAACATAATAGCCGCCAAAACAACACAACAAAACACCAAGCTCTGTTCCTTCTCTAAAGGAAGTGTGGCAATTCATAGAACTACTGTCTATGTCAGCCGCCTGTCAATGGATCGTATCCGTTCAAATCTGGGACATCATGCAGTGTAAGCACCAAGAAAGAATAGGAGCCACCAATTAAACTGTGACAATGTGTTCTTACCATACAGAATTTTTATTTTATACTTATTGAAAGAGTGCCTCTAGACTTACTCAGGCATAGATTTTTTTTTTATTAATGTGCATATATAGAAAAGGAAAATACAAGCAAAATAAATCGATTAACCAAAACCAAACCAAACCCATTGTCATTGATTCTGACTCACAGCAACCCTATAGGACAACGTAGAACTGCCCCATTGGATTTCCAGAGAGCGGCTGGTAGATTTGAACTGCCGGCCATTTGGTTGGCAGCCGAGCTCTCAACCACTGAACCACCAGGCCGCCAAACTGATGAAAGTATTCCTAAAAGTCCTATGCATTGAGCCCAATTCTTCTGAATTCCTGTGAACGCAGAGCATCAGTATGTGTGCTTTTCTAGACAATCTCAATGATGAAGCATTTCTTAGAAAAAATGTCCCAGTCTTGTCTCTAGGACTTGCTTCCTAGCTTCTGACACCCATTCTGCAAGTCTGATGTGGGCAGTGCTCTATTTGGCTAAATGCGCGGTTTTCCTGTTGAGCTGCATCGTACGTCACAAGTCATGCAGCTTCTCTGCGAATGGCAAGTGCCAGTTTGTGCAAACCGACGTTCCACTCCTTAACTATAATCCTGCATGCTATGCGAGTTGGTTATAGCAGCCTCTGTCGCTCTGGAATTTCGTTCATCTTTTCTGACCCATTTACTGCCTTCCTTGGCATATGGCTTTGACACATATAGTACTAAATTGCACAGAACTAAATAGAAAGAATGACAATTTGAACATCTATGATCACGTTGACAAATTCAGAGGTGATGCCAGCTATATCCTGACCACCACCTGGCCAACAGCTACTTCTTTGATAATAACATACATCTCAATTTCAGAGATGCTAAAAGGTGCAGCTAAAGTCCATCTTAGCAGTGGAGAAATATGGTATATTGAACTGGTATAATTGGTGATACCAGAGAATGCAATATCAATCATTTATAATTTACTAAACAAATTTGCATTGGTCACCAATTACGTGGGTGGCACAATAATTAGGATAAGTTTTCAGCAAAGTTTGCTAATTAGTCTCATTACCTAGCACTTACACTGATGAACCCTTGATTCATTTATTTGTACATTCTATAAATACTAATTGAGTGCATCTTAGGGGCCAAGCACTGGGCCAGGTCTTCCAGAAGCTTACAGCTTGGCTGATTGAAATACACCTCAAACATTAAAATAATAATACAAAACTCTCAAGCTAAGACCCATGGCACACTCCCTGTACTAAGCCTTTGTGAAGGAGTCAGGATAGAACTGGGCCAGGAGGGTGGTAAAATTTCTCAAAGTGGAGAAGAAAAGAAGGGTATTACAGAGATAAGTCTCAACATGAGCAAAAACATGAAGGATGGCGGAAGAACTGATATTAAGGGCCAACTAAATATCAATCACTGTTAATCACTACACATAATTTAATCTCACATTAATCGTGTCTCCCACTTAAATACAAGAAGTTGAGGCTCTAAAAACTCTCGTCTCACTGTTGTCAAGTGGTTGAGTCAGAATCCTAACTCAGGTCTGCGATACTCCAGGGCTGGTGCACTCCACATAAGACAAGTTAAACTCACCAGGGCAGAGTTCGCATTTAGAAGCTGTGGAGGATTACATGGGCTAGATAGAGTGAAAATGGAATGTGGAGTGCAATACAGGCGGAGGGGTATGGATTTTGCCAGGATGGCAACTGACACTCCCTGAAGACATTTAAACTTAGCCATACGCAATGTCCCTGGAGAAGGACCTCTTGAGTGGTAAAGTAGAGAGTCAGCGAAAAAGAGGAAGACCCTCAACAAGATGGATTGACACAGTGGCTGCAACAATGGGCTCAAGCATAACAGTGATTGTGAGGATGGCGCAGGACCAGGCGGTGTTTCGTTCTGTTGTACACGGGTCACTATCAGCTGGAAACGACTCAACGGCACCTAACAACAACAACAACAATGCTTTAAAAAGATGAATCTGATGACATCAGTGGCAGACACTAAAGACTGACTGATTTGACAACTTAAAAAGTGTAACTTTTGTGCACTAAAAAAAGGAGCATACACCCATAAAATTAGAGAGAAATCAACATGCTGAGAAAAAACATATTTAAATATATACAGCCCTGCTGGCAGAGTGGTTAAGACCCTGGCTGCTAAGCAAGAGGTCAGCAGTTCAAATCCACTAGCAGCTCCTTGGAAAACCCATAGGGCAGTTCTACTCTGTCTTATAGGGTTACGATGAGTCCGGCAATGGGTTTGGTTTGGTATTTTTATACATAACAAAATGCTAACGTCCATATTATTCACAGATCAATAAGAAAAAAACAACTGACAACAGAAAAATGAGCATACAGTGAGAATAAACATTTAGAGAAGACATGAGTGCCCACTATACATAAAAATACGCTCAACCTCACTAACAAAAACAAAAAACCCGAACAGTAATGACCTCATATATTTCATCCAGTAGATTGGCACAGGGTGTTTTTTTTTTTAAACCCAGTAATCTCCACTGTTGATAAAAGTACAGGCAAAAGGGCGTTCTCACTCATTCATGGTTAGAATGTAAACCGGTACAACCTTCCCGAAGAGCAAGTAGTTGATACTTTACCAAAACCTTGAAAATAAGCAAATCTTCAACCTACTATTTCCACATACAGGAATTAATCCTGAGGAAGTAA